TAGGTTCGTAACTAGGATTAGATTTTTTTTGAACGGAGGGAGGGGGTAATTCATTTTTTCTTTTGCAGTGAAGAAGTTTGATTAGCTACCTGAACCTGCATTTCATGTAGCGCAGGCAACTCGTACGGACGTACGCCGGCTGTTGAAGACTTGGGATCACGATCACGATGTGGATCGATAACACACACGTCGGCCACCGTCGGCGTGAGGGTCCATCCATCCATTGCATCCCATTACGCATGGCAATTGGCAAGCACCTTTCATGCATATGCCACAGCTGCTGTTGCCTGCCGACCTCCCTAGCGATTACGCATCGTGTGTTAGTAAGTAATTAAATTACTCCTAACTAGGGTTAGGGTCTATTTAAGTAGAGTTTCAACTCCTAAATTTAGCAGCCTAAACTCTGCTCCACATCTGTAATTTATTTTGTAAGAGCTTCACCTAGTTCCGCTACTATATTTTAGGTGAAGGTAAGGTGGTGTTTAGATCCAGAGACTTAACTTTAGTATCTGTATTTAGACACTAATTTAGAGTATTAAATATATACTACATACCAAACTAATTACATAAACGAAATCTAATTTGCGAGACAAATTTTTTAAGCCTAATTAATCTATAATTAGAGAATGTTTACTGTAGCATCACATAGGTTAATCATGGATTAATTAGACTTAATATATTTGTCTCGCGAATTAGTCTAAGATTATGGATGGGTTTTATTAATAGTCTACGTTTAATATTTCTAATTAGTGTCCAAACATCCGATGTGATAGGGACTTCAAAGTTTTAGTCTCATCTAAACAGAGTCTAAAACTGTTTGTCTGAGCTTCAGCTTTAAAAAAGATGCAGCTGAAGCGAGCTGTGTCAAAAAAAAAAAAAAAAGGTCTATTCTCATGTAGCTCCTTTCGGCAGTGCTACGACCGATAGATCGATCCTCCATAGTGGTTGAAGTATTAATTCCTGCTGATTTAGCAAGCAACATGCATGGATGCATGCGAATTCCAAGATGAGCTAGGAAGTGCATCAGTGCAGGCATGTTGCATGTTGGTGCCTTTTCTTCACTGTCATAGTACCTCTCCGGGCCATTGATTCGCTGCTTGCTTGTTACACTTGCAAAGGGAAATCATATCATGCATCGTGTGCATGCATGGTACGCATCAATGCACTTCATACTCAATTCTTCCGTTTCTATTGCATTTACCCCTTTCCCCGATATGATGCTTAATTATGGTGCTTGCGAATTGCAATGCATGCCATAGGGTAGGGTAGTGGTAAGTGGTAACAGGTCAATTAGTGGTAGATGCACTAACAACCGGGGTTAATTAGCTACTCGTAATAGAGCTTAGCTAAGCCGTTCATTTTTGTTGTTGGAGTGGAGTGGAGCATCGCTGCTGCTGCTGTTGTTGCTAATTTATTAATCTCAGGTTTCTGCTTGCAGCACTGCTCGATGCACTGAGCTTATACTTCTAGATCGATATAAACAAATGAAAAACAAAAGAAAAAAAAGGAGCACTCGTACTCCTATCAGCATGAGAAAGATGACGACGTTTGGTTTGACTGCCATTGGCGTAACTCCTCCTCCTCCTACTATGCATCAGCGTGGCTTTGCTTTCGGGAAAGCATATGCTTGTCCTTTTTTTACTACCGGTAAATCCGCAACGCAGAGTAGTGCTAGACTGCTAGTAACTCCAATACCCGATGAACAGAAGAAGAAAGCAGTAATAAATGGGGTTGGATTGCACTGTCTCTCGCAACCTTTTTCGCGTGAAAACATGAGAGATGTGTCCACAAATTTTAACATCAGCGGAGCGGAGGCCTGCTGCCATTTCGATCGAGGAGGAGAGAGACCTGCCAAGAACATCGTACGGACAGCACAGCACAGTGCTCCGTGCAGATGCAGAGCTCGAGACCATAGGTAAAAAAAAGAAGAGCGCCCCGCCGTCCACGAAACGCGGCCGTGTCGTCGCCGCCGTCGCCGTCGACGCCGCGCATCGGCATCCGGCGCCGTGTCTGTCTGTCGGTCGTGCCCTTCGCGTTCAGCCTACGCCGCTGGACGGTGGACGCCACGCGAGTGCAGAACCATGTTTACCAAACCATTTGGAATAGAGGCCGTGTTTAGTTGATTTTGATAAAAAAAAATTAGTACAAACACATATTTGAAATATTAAACGTAGACTAATAACAAAACAAATTATAGATTCCGCCTGTAAACTACGAGATGAATCTATTAAACTTAATTAATCACCACATTGTCAAATCATAACGTAATTATGATCAAAAGATTCGTCTCGCAATTTACATGCAAACTATGTAATTTTTTTCCGTCCATGTTTAATGCTCCATGCATGTGTCTAAAGTTAGGGCCACATTCAACCTTGTAGTTTGACGACTATCATGATATATATGGTGGTTTCAGAAACATTATCTTACATGATAACCGCCATAACTGCACGGTTTGGTACGCGTGCCCCGGTGGCACTGGCACTGGCAACGCAACGCACACGACGCGTCGCGCTGCAGGCTGCAGCTGCTGCTGCGGTGCCTTTCCTATCGCCGTTGCCGTGTTGGTGGCGTTGCAATCGCATCGTATCGGCATCATCGCTTCCGCCAAACGGACGCATCCGCGGTTTCTGCTTTGATTTCTTTCAGGTTTTTTTGTAATTTTGTTCGGCGAGTCAACCAGGCCAGACCACAGTGCGGGGCGGCAGTCAGTCGTGCGTGTGCATGCGACTGCGAGTATGCAATGCAACGTCTCTTTCCCATCGCCTCGTCTTGAATGGTAACGCAGCCACTACCACCTCATTTTTCCTTGGTGCTGTGCAGCCCCTAGTTAACCTACAGCTTGACCAAACAAAACAAAAACAAACAAAAGCTAACTTAGTACTCCCTCCGTTCATCTTATTTAAAAAATTTAAGTAATTATTAATTCTTTTCCTATCATTTGATTCATTGTTGAATATATTTTTATATAGGCATATAATTTTATATATTTCACAAAAAATTTAAATAAAACGAACGGTCAAACAAATGCTAAAAAGTGTAAAAGGTTAACAGTGTCAAACATTTCAAAACGGATAGAATATTTTATTTCCATCTACTTCCCCAAGGTTACAATAAAAACGTCTAGCATAGTCCTATATAAGTACTTATATCTATAGTATACTATTAGCTCGGATTAATTTGTCGGCTCTGAACTTGTATAGGAGTAAAATTCTCAGGCGCAAGCTTTTCTGTAGTCTGTATTTATTCAGAAGACGCCCGTCTAGCTATACCTTGAAATTAGAAAGAAAAACAAGACATTTGCTACGAAAATGAGCAAGCTGTCAGCAGTTCAAATCATAGTGGTACTACTGGACATGCTAGTGGGTAACAATCGATCTTGACGATGGAAACCATCAAACCATGGCTTTGTGCTTGACCAAAGCAACGAAAGCTACGTCGCATGTGTTTCAGACTTTCAGGCCTCGTTTATCTAGTCAGGACTCTGAATATAAACGTGAGGACGACCCTGTTTAAAGCCGGCTAATCTGTCCGTCTAAAACTCAAAATCTACCAATCTGCTCGTCTGAAACTGAACACGGACACTGACCTATTCGCTCTGCCAAGAACACAAGATGCTAAGTGACAACACATTCACCATTCAAAAATTCAGACATCACGAATGTGTTTGGAGCGTACAAAACGGCACCACGCTGACATGGCAATGTGAAAAGTGTGAATTTTGATTGCACGGCTGGAATTAAACATTTTCATGCATACGAGAAGGTGACAGGATTATGATTGTTTTCTGGAACCGTAGGATTAGGAGAAAATAATAAAAGAATCATAGAATGGTCCAATATTTATGAAATTTTCAGATCGTGATTATCGGTGAAAGAAAGCCATAGCTATTGCCGCTCAAATTCGGAGAGCCAGGGCATATGCAGCTGGGTGCACAAACAGTTCGTAACGAACTTTATGGCTAGAATATTTTGGACTCTGAAACAAGAAAAACATGTCATGCTTTTAAAAAATATCAGAATATTAATTCGCAATATATAGCTGGCAATGGCACTTTCTTTAACCTTGTTTTATTGGTTGCCATGCGCGAAATTGATAAATGCACGCCAGACATTTTAGAGCCCTTGGAGGTTGCAATGAACTTTTGGATATCTTGCAGATTTATTCCGCAATCAAGAGAGCTTGGGGTATTTCAACAGCTTTCATCATCGTTCACAGAAAGAGATTTGATTACAAAAGGGAAAGAAATCTCAAGATAGTTCCGTGACATGATCTGATAGTATGTCACAAGTCACAACACCAACCCAAAGCCCACCGTTTGCAAAAAAAAAAAAACAAAGCGTTTTTCGTGCCCGTTTTCCCCATGATAAAATTAGTAGTATATCGTCACCAATTATTGTAGTTAGCTCCACGGAAAGGAAAAAATCTATCAAAAAGGAAAAGGCTAATTATACTCACCAACAATACAAATCATCAGCACATTAAGGCCCCGTTTCATTTAAATTATCAATTTAATTATAGAGATAAATTAAAAAATAAACTTAATAAATACTACCTCCATTTTTTAATACATTATATGATGTTGTTGACTTTTTGACAAATGTTTAATCATTTGTCTTATTTAATTTTTTATGCAAATATAAAAAAAATAAGTCACGCTTAGAGAACATTTGAGAATAAATCAAGTCATAATAAAATAAATGGTAATTACATTTTTTAAATAAGAGAATGGTGAAACATATCTTAGAAAATCAACGGCGCAATATATTAAAAATCGGAGGGAGTAATATGAAAGGTCTAAGCAATTTAATAGGATTGTTTTTTAAAACCTAGATCTCATTTCAATAATTCGGTGAATATACGCTAAAAAGAACATGGGTTAATTACTTCCTTGTCTAGCCATACGGGGAAAAAAAGTGTGAACACGGTGCAATTTAAATGCGTAGATTCAAAAACTCCAGTTTTGTTTTCACGTAACGCAAATGCGAATCAATCGTAATGGATCTCCAATTCGGGGAGGAGGGAGGAATAAATACGTCCTAGTCGATCAGCAGCAACAGCGGGTCACCGCCTCCTCGTGTTCTCTCTGCTGCTGCGTCTGCATGCGCGATGCCAGGCGATGCGTGTGAGGTGAGACCGTGAGAGAGAAAAGAAACAGCGAGAGAGAGATGAAGCCGTGATTAAAAGAAGAGAGGAGAGGAGAGGAGAGGAGGAGAGGACCAGTTCGCTCGCGCTGCCCGCAACTCTCTCCTACCACCACCGCCCCCGGGGTGCCTCCTCACACACTTGGCGCGCGCCTCGATTCATTCCTCCTCTTCCTTCCCCCCTTCTTTTTCTTCCCCCACCTTGCTTGCAATTGCCGCGGACCAATGGCAGTTCAGGCGCATTACCACCACCACCATCACCACCAGCAGCAGCATCAGCCTCCTCCTCTCTTCCTCGCCAGGTACTCACCGTCGCTGCTCTTGATCGGGGAAGAGTTACGATGGATGGGGTGATTGATTCTGGTGTTCTTGGTTTGGATTTCTTGAGCAGAGGCGTCGTCGTCTCGCCGGAGACCACCAGGCCGGCGGGCATGGAGTATCACTACCAGCAGCATCAGCAGCCTCCCCTCTTCTTGGACTTCTCGCATGGAGATGGAGGTAACTGATCGCCTTTGATTCTTGATCTGCGTGTTTTTTCCCCGGTTCTTGGATTAGATTGAGATGGATGGTGTTTTTTGCAGATGGGGGCAACTCGAGGAAGCGGCCGCGAGAGGCGGATGCGGCGGCGGCCATGGTTGCTGCGCCGCCGCCGCAGATGTTGTCGCTGCAGCCGCAGGCGCAGGCGCAGGGGCACAAGGTGGTGAGCCTGGCGCAGCTGCACAACAAGCGGCCGCCGGCGTCGACGGGGCTCCGCCTCGACTTCGACGACGGCGGGTCGGAGCACGTGTCGACGACGACCACCTCCTCCGCGTCGTCTCTCCTCTCCGACGAGCTCGCCACGCAGTTCGACCGGTGCAAGAACGAGATGGCGCGTATGTTCCAGGATCATGTGAGGATCGTCGATGTCGATCGTTTTGATTCGTTGCTTGCCGCTGGTGGTGTTCGGCGATGTGTTTTCTGATGATGGTGGTGGCGTCGCTTTTGCTTGTTGCAGACGGAGAGGCTGCGCCGCGCGCTGGGCGAGGTGAGGCGGCGGCACTACCGGTCGCTGCTCGGCGCGGCGGAGGCGGCGGCGGCGCGCCGGATGAGGGAGAAGGAGGCGGAGGCCTCGAATGCGGCGCGGCGCGGCGCCGAGCTGGAGGAGCGCGTCGCGCGGCTGCGGGCGGAGGCGGCGGCGTGGCAGGCGAAGGCGCTCGCCGACCAGTCCACCGCCGCGGCGCTCCACGCGCAGCTCCAGCAGGCGGCGGCGGCCGCGGCGCAGGCGAGGGGCAGCAAGTCGCCGGAGGACGACGACAACATCAACCCCAACGCCGCCGCCGCGGACGACGCCGAGTCGGGGTTCGTCGACCCGGACAGAGTGGAGGAGGTGACCCCGCCGCCGCCGCCGTCGCGGCCGTGCCGGACGTGCCGGGCGAGGCCGTCCTCCGTCGTCCTCCTCCCCTGCCGCCACCTCTGCGTGTGCGAGGCGTGCGAGCCCGCCGTCTCCACCGCCATCGCCGCCGCCTGCCCCACGTGCCGCGGCGCGGTCACCGGCACCGTGCAGGTCTTCATCTCGTGAAAAAAAAGAAAACGATTGGTACAGAAATGCCTCGCCTTTTTTTTTTTTTTTTTTGCTCCCCTCCTCCTCGGGACATGCATGGCCATTGAAAGCCAAACTCTGAACAATGAATGAAAAATTGTAAAGTTTTATTAGTATTAGTTTCTTTTTTTTTTTTTGCATTGCTTAATCAATTCGATCTCTCTGTTATCAGATCATATTAGTCAAGACCAAATGATAATTGGCATCTTTCTGCTCGGTTGTATCATTATTAGTCAAGATCATATACTATTTCAGAGGGTTAATCACAGTCACTGACACTGGATCGCTATCGATCTAGAGTGCAATTTTTTTCTTCTTTTTACTGCGTTGTGTTGTGTGATTTGGTCCGTTGTACAGTTGCTGCAGTAAAAAGTGCTGCGAGATGTGTACCACCAGACACCAGCGCGGTTGGCGATTTGCAGTTAAAGGCGAGGGGGGCGTAGTGGCGGGAGATGCGCGGGGATCACGTGAGGGCGCGCGCGGCCGTCCGATCGCGATCGAGCGGCCGGGAGTGGGTCGCGGCGGCGCTGTCGGTTGTTCGCCGGGCGGCCGGATGGGCGCGCGTCGCGATGCAAAACGCAGCAGCGAATCAATAGCGGAGGAGTGGAGGAGGCTTTGTTGGGCCGTGGTGTCAGGCCTCCATCTCCACCAAGAGCAAGAGAAGATACAGAAGAGATGATACAAGAAGGAGCAGAAGAGGAAGAGGTGCTGGAGCCTGACGACAAGGAAGCAGATGCCCAGGAACAAGGAGGAAAACCAGACTTCAAGACCAAGAAGAAGCAAGTACCAGTCCAGCTTGGGCCAAGAGCAAGGAGGCCCAATCCACGCTACAAGGGTGACCAATGGGTCCAGTAAACAACCAGCTGGCATGAGCTGTCTGAGAGAGAGAGATCAGCCGAAACTATGTAATATAAACGCAAACGAAGAACAAGGAGATGGGGGCTAAGAACTGGAATATGCGCGCGTAGGCGGCGGCGGCTCGATCCTTCGGGGTTGAGAAATCTTGTATGCGCAATTCGTGATTAATTCCAGTTCCTGAGAGATAATCGTTGGGAGTTCCTAACACGTGGGCCCAGTCGTAGTAGAGATGGGCCCCGCTGTCCAGAATTGGGCCCACCAAGACTGTGCACTGTGGAGTAGGTGGTAGAAATGTTGTAGGTGTGGTATTGTTGCTTCTCTGAAGATTTTTTTGAAGAGAAGAAAAATGTTGCGTCTCAAGTCTGAATTGAAGCGTCAGCTTGAAACGGAACCGCCTGAATTCTGAATTTCCAGGGATGTACTGGAATTGGTACGGATATTGGTTGCATGCCCTGCCCTTGTCAAGTTTCTTTTTTTTCCTCGTGTACTTGTTGGTTGCGTACTAACCAAGGATACATCAAGCAACGCTAAACAGACTGATACTACGTATAGATAGCAGCCACATGTTTGATGCTGCTGCTAAATACCAATATCTCTGATTTTTAGTATACTGCATAACACTGCTGTAGCAGTTGTTTTTTGTTCGGTGCATCGCGGTGCGATGACACCGTCACACCAGTGTGATGCGTAGAGACAAAACCTTACTCTACCAGTTGTATTTCAGTAATGAAATGCCAGTTCATTTCAGCAATAGAGTGGGGAGCGAACAATGCTCTCTATTTTTCCTCCTTTTTTAAGAAAACACAGTTAATTTACTTATTAACATATCTTTAAACATTCGTCTTACTTAAAAATATTTATTCTGCAGTTATTTGATTTACTACTATTAAAGATGCTTTATACGTGATTTATATTTTTATATTTATATTGATTCTTGAAGTAAATCGAATGTAAAAAAAATTAAGGCCCTTTTCTATAAAAAATCGGAGGGGTACGGTAGACGGTAGTGTTCAATTCGTGGCCCATGTTGGTTGTATCGAGTGCAGGTTAATTGCTGGCGGGTGGAGAACAGGTCGACCGACCAGCACGGCGTGTAGAGAGACAAAAAAAAAAAACTCCGATTTTCTTGTATGGTTTGTCAACACGGTACGTACTTGTGTCATGAGCTACATCTTCTGAAAAAGTCACAGGAGGAGTTAATTGCTACTCCAGACGTGTCCGTTGATATCCATCTCCATCAGCTGCTGCAGGAGGACACGGTATATGCACCGTGAAAGGAGCAGTCCACAATGAAATGCACACATGCATGCATGCAGTGGTATTTTGGTTTATTGTTCAGTTTGCAAAGAAGTTAGTGTATACAGCTCCGTTTTATATCGTAGGATAATTTAACCTTTCTAAAGTTAAAATTATTTAAAGTTCAATCATGCTTATAAAAAAATATAGTAATATTTTCAACACCAAACATACATACTATTAAATTATATTCAAATATGCTTATAAAAAAACATAGTAGCATGTTTATAATGTTTCAAGTGTGTACAAGCGAGACCAATTTATTCTAGACTTAATACACGTGTAGTAATAGTGGCTAAGCAGAGTATCATTGATCAAGATCGGTGCACACACTCAACAACGAGCAAACTTGCGTCCGGCACAGTGTAGGAGTACGTGTACTTGTACTCGATCATAATGCAATATACTATACAGCACGCAAAAGAAGTTAAGAAGCCCAAACACACATGGAAGAAATCAATTTAAACGACTCGATATCCATCACGACTGGGTACATATAAACTACTCCTACGTGTATATATGCCAAAGTTCGATCTGCCACGATCGAGCGCTCGATTTGCTGCAACTTTGTTCCTTGCTGCTGGGTGGCATCTGACAGGTGGGTCAAGGAGACTAGCTAGCTCGTGGGCCCAAATCGCCAGCCCATCTAGTAGCTACAATGATCAGTCGAGCCGTAACTTCTAAATTTATCTCCAGGAGTTAGACATGGAGTGGAGCTGCCTAAACCCAACTCTACCTCTTGTTCATTTTGTGAGAGAGCTCAACCCACCTTCGCTCTCATTTTAGGTGGAGCTGAAACTGTTTAGCTGAGGTACAGCTGGAGTTGTGCTAAGCAGTCCCTACGTAGTGCCATGTCCCGTCATGTGCATCCTGCAATAAACTTAGAGCATCCATAATATACTTAATTTTTTTTTTCTATGTTACTCTCAACTTTCATCTCAATTTTGGTTCCCATCGTTTGGCTTATTTCCCAATAAGCCAAAACGGCTTATTACGAAATAAAAATAAATTTGTAGATAAAATTTTTATAAATGTATTCTTGGTGATTTAAAAGACAATGTTGATAAAGAAACTACGTTGAAAATATTTCAAAATCAATCTCAAAATTTGGCTTTTTCTTTGGCTTATTAAGCCATCCGATGGGAGCCTTTTATCTACACACTATTTAATAAGAGTTATCGTAGTTTTTCTTTTTAAATATATACTAAACAATCTATATTTATAATTATTTTAGAATGGATGTACTACTTTTTTCGCTAGGGCTCATCTTGCTTCGTATAGTTTGTTAGACACATTGGTGATGCGTGTGCATGCAGACTCGAGGCTAGTGGCTGCCAGGTCAGCTTGGTCCTAACCTGACAGGACATGTTCGACGGCTACGTGGACGATCTTGCATCGATCTCGATCGCCTTTTCCTCTCAACTACATCAATCGAGTGATCTATCCATCCAATGCAACCAGATGCACCGATCTCGCCCATCTCGAGTTCAGTCGTAGACGTCTTTTTAGCGTTAAGGATGATTCAGTCGATCAAGATGATACTCTCTCGTTCCTTAAATATTTAACGCCGTTGACTTTTAAATATATTTAATAGTTTGTTTTATTAAAAAAATTCTGTAAAATATGTAAAACTATATGTATACATAAAAATATATTTAACAATAAATCAAATGATAGAAAAAAAATTAATAATTACTTAAATTTTTTCAAAAAATATGAACGGCCAAACATTTTTTAAAAAATTAACGGCGTTAAATATTTTAGAATGGAGAGAGTATATACCACGATCGATCAGGTCGACGCTATCTAGCTAGCTAGCTCTCGATCGATAAGGGCCTTGTTTGGTTTCCAGTGACTTATTCCAAGTCCATGTCACATCGGGTGTTTGGATACTAATTTGGAGTATTAAACATACACTAATTACAAAACACATTCCATATCCTTGGACTAATTCACGAGACGAATCTTTTGAGTCTAATTATGTCATGATTTTGACAATGTGATGCTACAGTAAACTTTTTATAATTATAGATTAATTAGGCTTAAAAAATTCGTCTCGCGGATTAGCTCTTATTTATGAAATTAGTTTTTTTATTAGTCTATGTTTAATACTCTAAATTAGCGTCCAAACATCCGATGTGACATGGGCTAAAAAGTTTTAGCCCCATCTAAACACCCCCTAAGTTTCGTGTCGAATTTTAGCTGCTGGCCTGTAGCGCAGTGCACGAGCAGATAGATAGATAGATAGATCATCGAGGCTGATCTCAACCATCATCTGCTGAGTCTGGTTTGCCATCCTTGTCACTCACTCGATCATCGGCGCTTGCGTACGCAGCTTCGATCGATTTTGATTTGTTCCTTCTCTTCTACTCTGTCCGGAATGTTTGTTAGTTCATCAATTCGATCCGGCAGCGACGAAAGGTGCCAAACTGTACTCTGTATGTCATGTGTGTCTGTCCACATGCATGCATGTACATTAGCGTGAAATCCAAAGTAGATCGATGGATCGATCATGCATATCGCTTTGCGAGATGATAAGGCAATCGATCGATGCAACCCTGCTTGCTGTTAACTGCAGTTCTGAATTTATAATCACCAATCGATCGATCGGCAATTAATCCAACAAAACCTTTACTAGCACACATTAACTGGTGTACGTTATCGCTTCAGGCCATTCATAATCACTCTAGGACAAGTCAGCTTTTATAATGGGCATCAAGATAATCGACAAGGTTGAGTTTTCACCTGTGTGCATCACTTGATCAGGGTGAAGATTGGCTTGGCTTTCTGCACACAGCTTGACAGATACGACTACTTGACTACACTACTTGAGTCCAGCTCAGAGCATGCTAACCTAGATAGATACTCTCTCTGTCCAAAAAAAAAAAAGACAACTCTGATTTTCGTGTCCAACATTTTACCGTCCGTCTTATTTAAAAAAAATATGAAAAAAATATAGAAAGATAAGTCACGCATAAAATATTAATTATGTTTTATCATCTAACAATAATGAAAATACGAATTATAAAAAAATTTATACAAGACGGACAGTCAAATTTGGACACGAAAATCTAGGGTTTGTCTTTTTATTTGGACGGATGGAGTACTTTGATTTGTAGGCCAAGGTAGGCAAAGCACTGATCATTGCAGTTGATTAACACTAGTAACTGATCGTTTACTTTTTGCTGGCTAAGCTTTCTCAAAAGGCTATTTTATCTGGAGGCTTCTTTCAGGGGAGGTCACCT